GACATGTACGCTATGCCTTATTCACCTCTTTAAAAAGACTAGCTTAACCTACTTATCCATGTCGGTACTCACCATACAACGCCTGCTATAACGGTCGTTAACGGCGTTTTGATTTACTTTGAATCGGTTAGGACACAAAGACTCACCTTCCATGATACAGTGAGTGACCTATCTCATGAAATGTTGGCTGACATTCTGAAATGAGTTTTCAATTAGGAGGGATTACTTAGTCGCGGTTGTAATACTGATTATCCTAAAGCATACTCTTATAACATTTCGGACTTGGCAGGATGTCGGCTTTTAAATGTACTTCTTTTCAATATCCTATAGAAAGCGTACTCGGTAAAAAATGACTACTTAAGTAGCATGCATTTTTCCCATTGATTTTCGATGGTCTTGCAAATTCCAATATGTTTTTTATAGAAAGCATAGATAAAAATAGGCTTTCTTTTAATCAATCAATAGAGAATCACGTCTTCTTTATATTCTCTACTTAAGGAAGAAATATAATTAGGTTTTAAAAAAGTTTCTAATTATGATACTTTTTAAGAGCGCGAAATGTCAATTCACATAGCATCGTACCTGGACGTTTACCACTGCTCCTCATGAAATGAACAACCTGGTCCGCATCCATTGCAAAAATTTAATGAACTCTGTACGGTATCTTTTTAACGGTTTAGAAATATATGTGATTTTCTTTACGCGGAACGCATGCACCTTGCAAACTGAAATTACTAAGCGCTAATGCAACGAATGATCAGGCTCCAAATTATTCGGAAATTAGAAAACTTTTTTAAAACCTTATTGTACTTTTTCCTTAAGTAAAAAAATATAAAGATGACGTGATTCTCTATTGATATGCTAAAAGAAAGCATATTTTTATTCATGCTTTCTATAAAATATATTTGAATTTCCAAGACCATCGGAAATCAATGGGAAAAATGCATGCTACTTAAGTAGTCATTTTTTACCGAGTACGCTTTCTATGGGAGATTGAAAAGATGTGCATTTAAAAGCCAACATCCTGCCAAGTCCGAAATGTTATAAGAGTATGCCGCAAGATAGTCAGTATGACAACCGCGACGAAGTAATCCTTCCTAATTGAAAACGCATTTCAAAAATTTCAGCCAACATTTCATGAGATAGGTCACTCACTGTATATCCAAAAGGTTTCTGTTGGTACATGCGTACGCATTGGCTTACTTACTTCTTCAAGTATGCTTGTGCGTAGTCACTCTCATATCCTGTAATAAGGCACTTAGATTCCGCTGAGTTTACGCACAAAAGTTTCCTTACAAATGCAATAACAGGAAACCACCTCTTCCTACCGCATCCGAAAACGCCTCCACCGTCACCCTCTACCGCAAACCTCACGACACGCAAATCGACGACTTCAACTGGCGCTACGCAATCTCTGCCGCCCGCCGCACCCGCAATGTCAATACCACAATTCCCGCGGCGACGACGATAATCACCACCACCACCACCACCACCACCACCACCACCACCACCACCACGGATAGGAACACATTAAAAACCCAGCCACCCGCTACAACCTACACGACCAACAACATCTCTCCTCGCACCAAAAATTCGAACTCAACAACAATCGCTTCGCATAGTGGTTGCGTTTTCAAATCTCGCATTGGCCTGCTCGGTCCCTTGAGAATATAACGCATTGAGGCCGAGAAATCCGCGACTTAAGCCCCCACATACACCCGCCACACGTATATCATCTGCCTACAATGTTTCGGGACGTTGAAAAACCGCGCGGATCTTTGGGCCCACATACGTTTTTAGGAAAATCTGCGGCAAAACACAGCAGATCAGAAACATAACCTCGCCTCGTCAGAGCAGCCCATACACCATACATAAACCTGCCTCGCAGAACTCATCACAAGCACAGATGAACACCCCTCATGTGAGCGAAAGCGTCTTCCATGGCGCGACCTGTGCTCGCACAGGTCGTGTGGGGCACAAGTTGGCATGTTTTTGCAGCCCTGCCAGCCGCTGCATCCTAATCCAGATGGTTAGCTGACTCGGTCAGTCACCTGATCCATGGGAGAGGGAGGAAGGAGTTAGATTAACTTTGGAGACTTCACCCCAACAGCACTTCAGCGCAGTCCACACTAACGTATGTGAATCTCTCAACGTTCTCAAAACCGTGATTTGGAAAGTTTTCAATTTACGGGATACCTCAGTCCTCTCAAGACATGAATTCAGGCTATAATGGCTCACATATCATTCGTATTTCGGTGTGTCATAAGCTGTCTACTGTATCTGTGAAAACTTCTTCCATGGTGGGCAAACCATGTCGTGTGTGGCACACGTATGCGGACCGTTTAACTTTTAAAAACCGTATTATACCCTTCTTTTAAGTATGCAAATGGAATAAGATGTAATTTTCTACCGAATAGGCAAGAGAATGAGTATTTTCATTCATTTTTTTCATGAAATATGATTAAATCTCTAAGGGCATCGAAAATCAATGAGAAAAATGCATGCTAATTAAGTAGTCATTTTGTACAGAGTATCGTGTTTGTATGCGGCCGAAAAAGAAATTCGTTTGATAACCGGCATCCTGAGATAACTGAATTATTATAGAATTATGCTGCATGATGAATAGTTTTAAAACCCTACTTAACTAATCTTTTCGAAACGAAAACGCATATCGGAATTTTGGTTGACATTTCACGAGTTAACCTATCAACTGTAGTATCAAAATGCTGCCAGATGTGTGGCTTCCAAAGTAACTTACTCAAGACTAGTCTCTAATCAAATATTGGTCAATTTTTAAATATATTCATTAGCTGATCAAAATAATAAGCGGAATAAATAACAACTGTTACGTCGCAATAGCGTTTCCTATTTTACACATTCGCGCAAATTATGATAGTTTTCTAATGAAAGTAGTAAATTATTTTTGTGTGAATCCTCAGCTAAACCCTTTCGAGATACCCTATATTTGATGTGGTCCAGAAAACAATGCTTCGTGTGCGACTATGATTGTAGACTTCCTGCTGGGTTTCTCGCGCGGGGACTGTCTGACATGTCAGGTAAAATTATTCCGGGGATAAAAAGTCCGAACATTAACAACATGCTTCACGTGGTCAACGCATACAAGTAAGTCATGGTTGAAGTAACAGTGGAAAGTATATTACGCGCAAATGAATGACATTGCATAAATGCATATGAATTAAAGACAGCCACTGAATTATCTTTAGTCTTTCTCTTACTCCCAGTTTCTTCCTTTGTGCCTCGCATCACGCAACCATTACATGTACTTGGTAAAGGTATAGGTTGACAGCGGGACACTGATGTGGCTGAACTTAGTTAATGTGCATAAGTTTTCAAGAACTTTCCCAAAACTGCACGAGGTCATTTTTAGATAAAACTATCTCAGAGGCCCGCAACATACCCGACGAGAGCGAAACAGAGCTGAGAATTACAGTACGCCGCGGGAGCATAAAGCATTAGACAATTTTCGGTTCGATGTCACGACCGTATTCAGTCACACAATGTCTAATTCCTTACTGCTGCTTAGAAGTACACGAGTTTAAGTGACGAAATCGAGGGAACACATAAACGCACTGGCAGGTAGATGAGCAAATTTTCACATATCTGCATCTATCAATTCCGCAGAAGATCACTACGCAGACACTGCACTCTTTGCTTGATTTTTAACCTGTAAAGTAGATTCGGCCACACCTCCTAGAAACTAAACACAACTTTCTGACTTACTTCGCTCTTCTAAATGAAACGGCTTCTTCAGTAAACATCTAACGCGGAAGGTTAGTGTGTGCGGATTTTGAAAAATAGCAATTATGAGAAGAGTGCAGACAGTGACATGATTACTCATTCAACTAAGTATGTATAGGTTACGCTTAAGCGCTATTTACGCGCGATGGTGCGACTGTCGTTGTCACCGATGTCCGCCGTGTGCTCCATAGCATGGCGGAGCAGGGAGAGTGTCTTGCGCATGATTTAGTTTATAGTGAATGCAGACTTCCGCTGCATCTACGCACTCTCTTCTCATCCCCACCTGGACCCAGTGCCAAGACAGAATCAAGAAGACCGGAGGCGGGGGGAGGGCGCAGGAGCATGGTACGGTTGAACCCGCATCTGGTCTACATAACAAATGACCAAGACTTCAATCAACCAAAACAAACGAAGCTGGCGCGGACGAAGCCGCACCTAGGCATGCCGCCACACATGGCTCGGATCCCACAGGGTGGAAGTGCCCTAAAGACCACATAAAGAAGCAACCATTGCAGACTGACGCTTACATCACCAGCCCGCCACTCCACACGAACACAAGACCAGGCCGACTGCGAAGTCCAAGTTATCCCGTCAGTTGGCAAGTTCCCAATCCACGGTTTTCAGCGCACCTTGATAGCTTCAAGTATCAGATTTTTTATTAGTGGGTATAATGCGTTGAGTCATCGACCTTAGTCTGCCTTCCCATCCCCAAGCCTCAGCCATTGTCCGAGCCGATCGGTTGACAAGTGTGGGGAGTGGACGCGGTGGCCGTCATAACTGCGCACGCCACATGAACGACCTGGCCCCCTCCAAACACAAGCGCCGGGATTATAAACAAGGGGGTGTTGAGCAGCGTACATCTCGCATGCGTGAGTGTCGTCGGTCACGTTAAGAAGTAGTCGTTTCAGTCTGGCTCTCAGCCCACCAGTATGCCATTCCACACAACCAGACACAAATGGACAGATTGTGTGAACTAAGTAGGGGCGTCAGTCAACAGCCTTCCAAGCCATGGCGCTTGAAGAACCGTGATGGTCTCCGACTCGGGTCACACCAGCAGCTGAGTAGCCGCATGGAGACGGAGCCGAGACGCGTCCTTCCCACTTGCGTGGCAGTTTGCATTTGGATGCTGTTGGTGGGTGATGATGTTGTGTGATGTAGATAGGGAAAGATGTGCTGGTGTGGTGTAGCCGGCAGTTGTCTACCCCAGGTTTCCGTGAATGCAAATGTAGCCTTATAGGCTCCTACGGAGAGTGTATGTGCGGCGCAGTGAGGGCAGTTGGGCAGATGCGGCGAACGTATGTTGATGCTCCAGGCACTGGTTCGCCAGTCTGTGTGCGATGGATTTGCAATTGACCGACCAGGCCAATATGTGAGGCGAATGTACGGAGACAGTGGGGATGGGTAAAGTCGGCGGTGCCAGTGTCGGTTTTGGGGATGGTGTCGATGGTGGAGCTGTTGATGGTAGACACGCTGTGTGTCGACGATGTGGGCGTTGTGTAAGGCAAGGTGGGGGCACAGGATGTGCTTAGTTTGATGGAACTGATGGTGTTTGGCGTGCTGGTCGGTGGGGTGTCGTTTGAGATAGACATGGTGGATGTGCAAAAAGTGCTAGGTGCGTCAAGACTACGGTCAAGTACGTTTTCATGGATATGTCTGTGAACGAAGAGGCCAATGAGGTGAGTGAATGTACGGTCGCAATGCTGACAGGTATGGATCGAGTACACACCGCTAATGTTGACGGTGGGGAGGTTCATGCTTGTTGGTGTGTCCGGAATATGTGCGATGGCGGTGGGTACGGGAGGGGCCGAGTGGATGTTAAGGCAACGAAGAAGAAGAAGAAGAAGAAGAAGAAGAAGAAGTAGAAGGAAGAGAACTAGGAGGAGGGTGATGAAGATAGTGGGGGCTTGGGAGTGCGGTGGCTGTTCATTGTCGGCGTGAAGGATGAGGCAGAGCCAGGACGAGGAGATAGTAGCTGATGTAGTCCGCGTGCAGCAGTTGCTATGAGGATGCCCTACAAGACCGACTGATACCCAGAACGTCCGCTGACAGCGTGGGCAGGTCGGGAGCGATGGAGCGTCGGATTTGCGGACTAGGCGTAGTTGAGATTTGCTGGTCTTGTGTTTGACTTTAACGGCGGTGATGCGGTTGGCTTCGTAGATCGCCGCGCCTGTCTTCACTATCCTCCTTTAGGCCCGTCAGTCTCAGATGAGACCTTCCCAGTTGGCAGAGTTGATCTGAAGACGCTTCACGGAAGTCTTCAGAGTGCTCTTATAGCGAAGGACATGGCCTCCTTGCCGCCGGGAACCCCTGGTGACATCTCCTTAGAATAACCATTTGGGTAGCAGCTCGTCGTCCATTCGCACGGGCTGGCCGGTTCAGCGCAGTTTCAGTTGTCTCAGCATGACGTAGATGCTGAGGATTCCCGCCCATTCCAGTACATCTGTGTCCGGGATCCGGTCCTACTACCTCAGCTTCAATATCCGTCGAAGACAGCTGAGGTGGAAGTTATTCAGTCTACGCGTCCGCTTCTTGTACACCGTCCAAGTCTCCGCCCATATGGCGGCGTCAACAGAATGACTGCCTTGTACATCTTCAGTTTGGTCTTGAGATGGAGACCGTAACGGTTCCAGACGCTGTTTCGCAGGCGGCCGAAGGCCTGACCGGCCTTTGAAATCCAGCAGGCTACTTCATCGTCAATCTTGATGGTGCAGTAGAGGGTGCTGCCCAGATACGTGAAGTTGTCCACTACTTGCAGTTGGGCACCGTTCACGTTGATTTGGGGTGTGTTGTAAGCAATGGCGGGTGACGCTTGATGCATGGCCACCGTCTTCTCTGTGTTGATAAGCAGGTTGAAGTTGTCACAAGCGGCAGCGAAGATATCAATGCTTCTTTGCATCTCTCCTTCAGTAGTTGCATTGGGGTGCAGTCGTCGGCGAAGAGAAGTTCATGGACGGCAGTGGTGGAAACACGCGACTGGAAGTGCATCCACCGGTGGTTGAGCAGGCGACCGTCCGTTCTATAGGCGATGCGGATCCCAGGGCCTCCATTAGCATGACAGAGAAAATGAGACTGACAGGAGTAGGCGCGAGGACGCAGCCCTTCTTCACTCCGTCGGTCACTGCAAATGCCTCTGAAACAAATCCGTTGTCTATGACTCGAGTTATCATGCCATCGTGAAGCTATTGCACCATCTGGGTGGATCGCTCAGGACAACCGAACTTCTGCATGATTTTCCACAATCGTTCCCGATTCACCGTGTCAAGGACTTTCGTCAGATCCACGAAAGTAGAGCAGCGGTGGGTCCGCATCTAATGACACTTCTTTTACCGTTGTCAGGCGGTAAAGATCATGTCGGGGGTTCTACGATGGTGGCGAAATTTGCACTGGCCTTCCGGCATGCGACCCTGATCCAGATGGTTGTTCAGGTGGTTAAGAAGCATACGAGAGGAGATCTTTCTGGCGATGTTTAGCAAGGTGGTACCTCGATGGCTGTCGCAGAACTGACGACCACATTTCCGTTTATGGTGATGGACGTTTGTGGCGTCCTTTAAATCCTGCGGGACTTCTTCTTGATGCCCGTCTCCTGGAAGAGCGTCGACAGTTGATTCATGAGTTGAAGGCTAGGCTAGATCGCAGTTGGTAGCCAGGAATGTGGAAGCGAGCGACGACCCTAACCCTAACCATAATCCTAACCTTCATCCTAACCGTAACCTCAACCTTAAACGTTAGCCGTTATCCCTAGCGGCAACCCTGACCCTAACCGAAATCGTTAACATGACCGTAGCCATTAGACATAGCCGTAACTGAAAAACCTTACCGTAATACTGAAACCTGTTCGTACGCTCAAACCCTAACCGATACCCGAAAACCGAAGCCTAAAGGCATAACCCTAATCCAAAATCGGAAACCATTAACCGGTACCCTAACCCAAACCTCAAGCCGAAAACGGAAGTCAAATGGGTCAGATGTGATTATGGAGCTCCACAAAATAGCTCCAGTAAATAAACCCCCCCACTCACATGAAATACGGGGCCTAGATACCAACTGCGAACTAGCCGAAGGCCACCGTGATGGTTTCGTGGAGAGAGGACGAGAGGTCGCGGTCGGCGTTGGTTTCCACTTGCGGCAGACGGGCAATGACGGCGTCGGAGATGATGGATGGACGATTAAGCACGCCACTGAAGTGCTTGCCCCATCGCTGAAGTTGTGTCTTCTAGGTTAGTAGGGTACTCTTGTTGGCGCTGAGAAGAGGAGCATTTGTTTTGGCTGTGGGACCGTAGACAGCTTTGATTTCGGAGAAGAAGTTCTTTCATTCGTCGCGATCAGCGTAACCCTGAATCTCCACAGCCTTGCGAGCTGTCCAACCGTCTTGTATCTCCCGTAGCCGTTGTTGCGTTAGGTGGTTACATTGGTAGAAGGCCGCTTTGATATCGTTGATGGGGCGATTGGCCTAGGCTTTGTGTAGTCGGTTCCCCTCGGCAAGCAGGTTACTGATGGCCGCGTCATTTTAGTCGATTCAGTCCTGATGTGGGCGACGTGCGTTACCGAGGACAGTCAGCGCCGCTGAGTGGGCTGTGCCCCGTAGTTGGCACCATCGATTCTCCACGAAGGCGTTTTCCTTAGCGACGGCAACGACTGGAATGTTGGCTACCCGCTGCGCTAGCTCATTACTCAAATGGAGGTGGTGGGCAGGCGAAGACAATAAAGCAATATTCACTTACCTGGAGGCGGCTTACCTTGAGGTCTCCTCTGAAGGTGTAGAATAATCCGCATTTTAGAAATGACGATACGGCACCGTCGGCACCCGAAATTGCCTTTGTCACCAGTGTGTCCCGCTGGTCTCGCCTCCGGACGAGAACAAAGTTCAGCAGGTGCTAGTGTCGAGACCGAGAATGCATCCAGTTGGCCTTCTCTCGCATCAGAAGGCGGAAGAAGGTGTTGGTCAGAATGACGTGGTGTTCTGTGCAGGTTCGTAGGAGGAGTAGGCCATTGCCAGTAGAGCCGCTGAGACTAAGAGCACCCAGCACTCCTCTCCAGTCAGCATGGTCTGTGCTGCCGCGGCCGTTGGACAAGGACAATAAACTTGCCCGCCTTCGGCACAGTCGCCAGGAGACTGTGCACCTCCTCGTAGAATTTGTTTGCAACGTCAGGGCTGGTCATCGGGGGAGCGTAGACGCTGACGATGGTGCTGAAGTTGCATCCCTGGAGAGGGTGGCGGAGGCTCACCAGGCTGTTGTTGATTCCCTGAGGTAGACAGGGCAGTCGTTCCAAGATGTCGTCCCGGATGACAAAGGTGACACCCGCGTCCCATCGCTCTGCCTTGGGGCAACCGTTGCAGAAGATGGTGCAGCCGGCACCCATCTCCTCCGGTTGATCTTGTTCGGACAACCGGGTTTCGCTCAGTGCTAGTTCCCGAGTCATTAGCGACCTCTTGCGTTCCGGTCGGTTGCTCCTCGGATTGTCGAAGAGGGGACGAACACTCCAGGCTGCCACTGTGAACGACTCACTCCACCAGTCTGTGGGATGGGGCGGCGAGGGAGACGAGGAGGAGGAGGAGGAGGAGGAGGAGGAGAAGGAAGAGGAGAAGGAGGAGGAAGAGGAGGAGGAGAAGGAGGAGGAGGAGGAGGAGGAGAGAAAGTGTTTTGTCTTGTGTTGGACACACACGCACACACACGACAGGTCGACCATCGATTTCGACGATGTCCACCGCCTGTTACACACCAAGGTGCAGCAGGCACGGTGACTCGCGCGTGAATCAGTTTTTAGTGAAAGCAGACTTGCGCAGCATCCACCGCACTCCCTCTTCCCCACTCCCCATCTGGACTCGCTGTCATGATAGAGTCAAAAAAACCGGAGGCGGGGAGGGTGCAGGTGGCTGACACGGCCGGACCTCGGCGCGCCACCACACCCCTGGTCCGCAATATACACTTGATCAGGATTTTTCATTAAGAACAACGCCACGACAGGGAGCAGAAGGACGAGAGTGATTACTGGACAGCCATGTCCATCACTTGTATACCCACGGAGAGCGCATGCGCATTTAGCGGCAGGGAACCAGGCGTCAGGGAACTGCTAGCGCATATCAGGCTGCGAGGGCCATGAGTTGCTGATGCTGGCAAGGCACACGCTTTCAGACCTAGTGACCTAGAAGGGCAATACGCGGCCCTGAATTTAGCCTGCACCGCTATCCTTCAAGTTTGGATAACCAACCACTCGTCGACTGAGAGGCACTACCCATAACTTACACACACACACACACACACAAACACTCTTCTCACATGCACAAGGGTGTCATGGATCGCTTGAGAAAGGGCCGTGACAGCCTGGCTCTCAATCCACCAGTTCGCCACTCCACACAACACACATAACTGGGCAGACTGCGTGGACTGGGTTGGGGCGACAGTCGGCTGCCTTCCGAGCCACGGCGCTAAACGCACCGTCATCGTCTCAGACTCCGATCACAAATGCAGCAGGTGTGTCCCATGGAGAAGGAGCCGAGACGCATACTTTCCACTTTCGTGGGAGGTGAAACGCCACCTAAATACTGAAGCACGCTCACTGGCTGCCAACGGTAATCAATAAGTCCTGATAGAAGCGAACAGGAGAGTTGCAGGTAGCAGTTCAGAAGACGAAGATGTGATCACTGGAACAAGAAATTTATTGGCCTGACGTTTCGGATTATAACTCCAATCCATCATCAGAGACAGTCGCAGATAAGGGTAATGGTGGCACAAGGAGTGCAGTATTTATGGCACGTGGCTGCCGTGGGACCATGTGCGCACTGTAATTAGCAGCTCTCGCAATCACCGCTGGGGGTTGTAATTGATGCGATGGTGGCATGTCAGTCTGCGTCCGAGTCGTTAATGGCCGTGATTTCGTCATCCGTGCTGGATGTTAGTGTGACGATTGCTCGGCGAATTGGCTCACTGTTACCGGGATAATTGCTCGACCGCGCCCTCTCCATGTGACTGATTCCCCTGCCCAGGGGAAATCTCAGCACGGAATATGGTAACGGGAGACCATTGCGCTTGTTGATGGATTGCGGGTCTGAGAACCATGACTCGAGCAGGTCGTGGCTCACGCGGTTTTCGCCCCTTGCGAAGATTTCGGCATCTTGAAACTTGAAAATATGGCCGGGTCCCTTCGAATGAGCCGCCACCTGAGAGCTAGCGTCTTCCCGTCTTACTGCTGCTGTGTGCTCGGCAATTCGCGTGCGGAGTAATCTCCCACGTAGTGGGAGTAATCTCCCGGCGTAGGTGCTTTGTCCGTAGTTGCGTACACCATTATCCATATCTGTGACTGTCTCTGATGATGGATTCTCGCTCGAGTCATGGTTCTCAGACCCGCAATCCATCAACAAGCGCAATGGTCTCCCGTTACCATATTCCGTGCTGAGATTTCCCCTGGGCAGGGGAATCAGTCACATGGAGAGGGCGCGGTCGAGCAATTATCCCGGTAACAGTGAGCCAATTCGCCGAGCAATCGTCACACTAACATCCAGCACGGATGACGAAATCACGGCCATTAACGACTCGGACGCAGACTGACATGCCACCATCGCATCAATTACAACCCCCAGCGGTGATTGCGAGAGCTGCTAATTACAGTGCGCACATGGTCCCACGGCAGCCACGTGCCATAAATACTGCACTCCTTGTGCCACCATTACCCTTATCTGCGACTGTCTCTGATGATGGATTGGAGTTATAATCCGAAACGTCAGGCCAATAAATTTCTTGTTCCAGTGATCACATCTTCGTCTTCTGGTAATCAATAAAGTTCATATAGTGTGTGAAATTATGCTCACTGCCAGGATATCAGCGCCAGCCATCCTCAGGTAAGATCACACGTGCAATAGAAGACGCGATACCGAGAGCCACTTGTTTGCTATCCTGACGAATCGAACAGATACAGGGCTTAATACATGTGACAGGAAACTCTCCAACCGCCAGGACTTTAACCCAGCTCTTCATGTGGTCGGACGTGACTTTCTGGTAGGGCGAACCAAATATTCACTGCTGACGAACAGCGGTAGACATTAATTTCAGCAAACAGAGATCGAAGATGACCAAGAATCGCCCCTCGGAAGAAGTGGCAAGCTGCCGTTTAACCCGCAAAGCAATTAAATGTCAGATGAGCCGCACGCTTTGACACGCAGCGTGATAGTCGGTAGGAGACAAACAGGTTTCAAATAGCCTGAGAAGAAAATACTACAGATTGGGGTTACCTAGGAGTGAGAGCAAATAATTTGGGTGTGCGAACAAGGGTTGATATGGGCTTACTCTGCAAGAAAGCATCCACTGATGTAGTAAATTTCATTTCAAAACACAGTTCTGTCAGTGTCGTGAAAGCACTGATAGTGCGACGAAGGTCGGGCCGGTTGACCAGGTCCATCGAGCTGAACCAAGCCCATATAATATCCTACAGATAGTTTATCCCAGCATCGGTGAGATTGTCCGACGATGATTACCGTGTGCTTCACGGCAAAGTTAAAACAAGCACGGTGACTTGCGCGTGAATTGGCTTATAACGAGTGTAGACTTTCGCTGCATCTGTCGCATGCTCCCCTGTCTCCCATCTGAACCCGGTGTCAAAACATAGTCAAGAAGACCGGAGGTGAGGGCGAGCGCAGGGGGCTGACACGGCCCGACCCGTAACTAGATATACCGCCACACCCTCTGGTTCACAACGTACACTTGATCAGGATTCCTCACCAACAAAAACGCCCCAACAGCGGTCAGAAGGAGAAGGATGACTGGGCAGCCATGCTCACGACCTGTATACCCAGCAGGAATCCAAGCGCATCCACCGGCAGAGAACCAGTTATAAGGGAACTTCCAGCGCATACCAGACTGCAAGGGCCATGGTTTGATGCTCCTGGCATAACAAATATTTGCAGACCTTTAGGCTCACGCACAACGGAACGGGTGATTTCCGTAGGAACGATCGGTGAGCACCCCCCCTTTACCAATGTATATTTATATAGCTACAAGCAATGCTAGAGGGGTATTCACAGACCACGTTACGGGATATACTTGTCCCCTTTTGCTTTGGGGCTCGATATAGGGTCCCGCAGGCTGCTGCACAACAACTGGAGGTATACGCATAATGACATTATCAACAAAGACAGGAGGAACCGGATCAGACATTTCTAACGGCTAGTCCGCCATATCCAACCCCAGGTTTGCAACCTCTGATTATCTGAATGTCCCTTCATAAAGAAGTTAAGTGATAAATGGTTTCGATAGGGGAGAAAAACAAGTGGTATGTAGACTGAAACTTGTAAAAACATGTAAGCTTTATCTTGCATATTAATTCTCCCGTGTATGACTTTTTAAAAACATTCCCTTCGACAAAGGGCGTAAAATAAATAAATTTTTTGTCGGTACGTTGAAATATTGTTGAAATCTTACAATCAACCAAAAGCACCAGAAGCAAATACTTTATAAAACTAATGGATTTTTTGGATGGAAGTAAAAAAAGGCGCCACCAAAGTCCTGCACAAAATCGCCTATTACTTGCTTTAGAGGTCGATCCTTGCCACTGGCTCGTAACATGTCTTGGTTGTATTGTGCCGAGTCTGCACGAATCCTTGATTATTGCGCCATGTGCTTCCGACACGCGATAGACGGAAGTGCACACCACGCCAGCCAGCAAGTTAAATGTCATGTTATCATTCGTCCGGCAGATTTGGCAAAGCTATTGGTGCATGGACTAGGAAGGGAAGAATGAGGTCGATACCGACAGAGCCTACCTTATCGCAGTCCACCATAGTTCACAATGCAGTATGCGTTTTAAAGTGTATCGCAGCACCAAAGTGATGGGTTAGAAGGTACCCCAATGAAAGGAAAACTGCGACCTCCTCTCTAGAGAGGGTCAAACTTCAGTGTTTCCAGGGCGTGCCACCATTAATACACTCACTTATATGGAAGTCGAGGTAACCCGCTTTGTACGTCTGTATGCCGCGCCAGTCACCTAAGCCCTTTTTCGTCCTGACTCTACCCTGACAACGGGCTCATATGGGAGAGGAGGACAGAGTGCGGTTGACGCAGCGCAAGTCCACTACCACAAAAAACTGATTCACTTAGAAGTTGCCGTTCCTGTGCCTACCCTCCCATAGGTCACACGGTGGGCATCGTCAGAATTAACGCCTGCATGTGCGCTGGCGATAGAATTATGACCGGGAGTACGTGATGTCGTGGGTGGCGACCAAAGTAGCAGATGTACGGTCGTTCCCGTTGATCGATGCAGTCATGTAGATGACCGCTGCACCAAAAGACATTAAAGAAAGTACTCTGTTGTGCAGAATGCCCCGTATGGAGAGGTTACCTACGATAAACAATCCGGATCGGTTGGAGTAGACATGACTACGGTCATAGTACGTATTTAAAGCACTGAACAGACGGTCCCCAGCAATCCGAACGATGAACTCGGTGAGTACTTATACATAGGCTGATTCAGGTAGTTAGTTCATATCTAGAGTAACGAAAGTCCGCCCGCCCGGAACGATGACATCCGCCGTCTGCCGCACAACGTGACGGGCTCGGGGGGTTACTTGCACGCAAACTATTTTATAGTGTTAATAGGCTTGCTCTGTGTCTACCACGCTCATTTTTCCTTCACCCTCATGGCACGGTCTCAAGATAGATCGGAGACGGAATCGGGCATGTTGGCTGGCAAAGTTAAACGTCTGTCTACGTGTGCGATATCCGCCTGGTCCGCGGACGATGGACGAGATTTTCACAAAGCAAGAAGGGAACGACCCGGATCCCATTTGAGTAGGAGTGACATCGAGACTTCAATAAGAAGGAGTCATGGTAGCCTGCCTCTCCGTACTGAGAGGAGGACCGAGTTATTTCACCCCTTGACTGCCTTCCAAGCCCGACGTTTAGCCAACCTTGATAGTGCAAAAGTGCGTCTGGTTGTTTACAGGGAAGACATCGCTGGACTGTCGTGGGGAAGACTCCCCAGAGCCCACCCCACAATCTTTGACCTCTCACCTGATGTTGGGATTGGGCTCAGTGGCTGACAGAGCCAAACAGGCTCTCTGCACTTGCTACACACGATCTGGCATACTGCACAACATACCAGGATTTCTCACAAAAGGGCGGGGGAGGGCAACTCGAATGTCACAAGTGCTAGAGTACTACAGAGACCACACGGAGGAGCAACCGAAGAACACACGGGACGCGTGCCCATTTCGCAACCGTAGTAGGTTATGCGGGGCGGGTTCGTGTGTGGTGATGGGCTTTGGTCTTCCGTTCTTTGCTGCAGATTTGCAGAGGTGCACATATGGTGAGGTGGCCTATAAAGTGACTGAATGCTCGTGGGTAGTGTGGGCAGTTGACGTAGATGCAGCAGGTGTATGCCGGACTCCAGAAAATTGCAATGGATTCGCAATGTCGTTGTTCTAGCTCGCGACCTCGGACTGCCGATATCTGTTGGTATCATACAAATTTCGACGCAAAGGCCCGTGGCTGTTCCTCGCCCTCCTTTTTAAGTCGAAATAGGGAAACCAGTCAGCCAGAGAACAGACGCGACCGTTTTCTCTGGCTCTTTCGGCTCTGGTCGCACCTTCTATGTCTGCGGTAGTGTGACTCGCAGACGTTTCCTTGTGGACACTGGAGCCCAA